ACACACACCCCAGCACAGGGTGTGTTTTGTGTTTGGAATTCATGGCCCCTGAAAGAGATTTGTCAGACCACAATGAGATTCTTTTTGTTTTCTGATCAGCTCTCTTATCAAAGAAATTTCCCATAGGAATCAAGGAAGCAAATTAATCACATTTTCAGATGGGCCAGCATTTTACCGAATGTCTTAGATTTCCTGATTTCTCATGAGGAGCTGAGAATAGTCAGATGTAAACACTCTACTTCAATGAACAAAGGATTTTATATCAAAAAAGCTGCAATATGTGTAAATATGTTGTGGTAGTTACAAACAAGTCTTCAGATATTCTGTGTTTTAAAAATGCACATATGGTATCAGACCCTTTTAGCCTGGCTTATATAATTGGATGGGTCATAATATTTATTCAGTTTTGGCTTAGGAATTACATGAGCGTGGTGATTCTGGTTTTGCCTTTTCCTTCTGTTTCCAGATTTCAGTAATACATTGACCTTATTCAGAAAACAGCTTGATCCAGATCAGAAAACTTTCTCACTGGTGGGGTGTCCAAAGTAGGGGATTATCTGATCTTTTACTTACTTACTTACTTACTTACTTTACTTACTTACTTATTTATATTTAAGAACTACCTATCTCCTTCAGAGAAGGACTTTGGGCGGTGTTCAATAAAATATTAAGAGCATGAAAGCAACATATACAATTTAAAAAGGTAAAGAATGGGTTTCTTTTTGCATGTTCAAATGGGTGTGATATTGATCATATGGCCATGTCCACCAGATTGTTTCTTTTTTTATCTTGCCTGAGGATGGTTCATGTCTTAATAACTGAATAAACTTTGTTTCTCAGGCCTAACTAGATATGCCAGTGATTACTGTAGCCATCCTTTCACTCTAAGCTATCTTCCTTTCAATTACATATCCAATTGTCCCACCTGGAAGAGAGAGAAACCTTTGCTTTCATTTGCATCCTAATTCCAGTGGCGTGTTAATTCAGGGAAATGTTAGTTTCTTTTAATCTAAGTATAGCAGCATTCAGAATAGTCATGACTCCTCTCCCCAATCAGTATGTCTGCTAATCATACCCATTGCTTCCAGTTGCCCAGAAGAATCCAATGTTCATTTAGAGATGTCTTTTCATCTAGTACAGACATGTCAAACTCGCAACGTCACGTGAAGTCGTGCAACGTATCAGAGCTTTTTCCCCATTGCCAGCAAGGGGTGGGCGCGGTTTCCTGGTGATGCGGCCGGCCCATGGGCTGGCAGTTTGACACCTCTGATCTAGTACATGTGGTTTCTGGAGACTCTGACCTTGTCCCTTTCAGCAGGACAGAGTGAATTAATTGTAAAAATAGCAATAGCAATCATAATAGCACTTAGACTTATATACTGCTCTTTATTGCTTTACAGCACTCGCTAAGCAGTTTATAAATGTCAGCATATTGCCCCCAACAATCTGGGTCCTCATTTTACCAACCTTGGAAGGATGGAAGTCTGACTCAACCTTGAGCTGGTCAGGATCGAACTCCTGGCTATGGGTACAGTTAGCCTGCAATACTGCATTCTAACTACTGCGCCACCGTGGCATGGTAAAGGTAAAGCTTTGCCCTGTCCAGCCATGTCTGACTCTAGACGGTGGTGCTCATCTTCGTTTCTTAGCTGAGGGAGCCAGCGTTGTCCAAAGACACTTCCATGGTCATGTAACCAGCCTGACTATATGCCGAGGCACATGGAATGCTGTTACCTTTCCACTGAAGGGGTACCTATTTATCTACTTGCATTTTCATGCTTCCAAACTGCTAGGTTTACAGGAGGAATTAATAGTAATGTTAGAAGGAATCCTGGTTTGTTCTGGGCCAGGTCAAAGACCACAGAACAACTGTTTGAAATGGAGGTGGAATTTATTTGACAGCAAAACGATGGCTTAGCATTCAGTTTAATGAAGAGTTTAATGAAGAGAAGGACGAGGGGGGACATGATAGCAGTGTTCCAGTATCTCAGGGGCTGCCACAAAGAAGAGGGAGTCAAGCTATTTTCCAAAGTACCTGAAGGCAGGACAAGAAGCAACGGATGGAGACTAATCAAGGAGAGAAGCAACCTAGAACTAAGGAGAAACTTCCTGACAGTTAGAACAATTAACCAGTGGAACAACCTGCCTCCAGAAGCTGTGAATGCTCCAACCCTGGAAGTTTTTAAGAAGAAACTGGACAGCCATTTGTCCGAAATAGTATAGGGTTACCTGCCTGAGCAGGGGGTGGACTTGATGACCTCCAAGGTCCCTTCCTACTACTACTACTACTACTACTACTACTACTACTACTTCTTCTTCTTCTTCTTCTTCTTCTTCTTCTTCTTCTTCTTCTTCTTCTTCTTCTTCTTCTTCTTCTTCTTCTTCTTCCTCCTCTTCCTCCTCCTCCCCTAATAATAATAATAATAATAATAATAATAATAATAATAATAAAGGTCACCACAGACTGAAAGGCAGGCTAGAAATATTTATAGGAAAGTTCAGTCTTGTTTGGCTGGGGATGGGGGTGGGGGTTGAACTGAGTCCAGTAGGGAGAAAATGAAGTTTTCTCACCCTGAGGGATGAGATAATCCTCACCTCTTTGTGTGCCCAGATGTTGACCCCAAGTGACCTTGGGGAATCTTATTGTGTATGTAAAGGATTTCCATATCTTGAGGGGATTTCTTATGGTTTTGATTCAGTTGCTGATATTTGCCAATTTCCTAGAAAGAGACTAAATACTCAGTTTTAGCCCCAGTGTCAACAGAGGTGGAAAAGCTTAAGCGGTCTCTTGTTTTATTGCTTGGTTCACTGTCGGGTTCACTGTCGGCTGAGCGATGGGGGACAAGAGTGATAGGAGGGTCTTGCCTTCTCCCAATAACAACCTCATTCAACTTCAGATGTTTATTCATTATGGGCCATCTATGAATCTGATGTTGAAATGGACCAGATGTTATCTAGTTCAATTTGTTAGACTTTTTAAGGCTACGAAACGCCAAAATCTTGTCTCAGTTTAATGAGGGTTAAAAAAAACACTTATTAAAATAAACCACATAAAAATGTTTTGATAATACTTTATTTCCACTCACATTGAATAAAAGTAAAAATACGATAGTATGTTTTTTTTTTTTTTTGAGCAAATGGAAAGTCATAAAACACTGTTTGGATGGGACTGGAGAATGTCTAGCATGAGGCTTTTAAAAACAGTGTCTAAAGAAGATAATGGAAAACCACATCTGAAGGTTTCAAATGGACTTCTTTTAAATACCCTTTTATATCTTTTTGTAGAAGTCAGGAAATGGGTCTTGAGGGCTTTTTAGAAATTCCATTGGGAAGGACATATAAGGAAGGAAAAGCACAATTTGTTAGGGAATGAAACAAAAGTTTGCATGTAATCAGGATATCCCAAAATGTTGTGAGACAGGTTTGATAAGTGAATCCAGAAAAATATTTGTATAAAATTGTTGTTTATTTTACTCCACCCTTCTTTAGAAACCATTTTAAGATAGACTTGATGAAAATTCACAAGATATCTATATAGAGTATCATTTTTCAGACTCAAAACCAACTGGGTAGATTTCTTTTTAGGATGTTCATTATTTTTACAGACACTGGATTAGGAATCTAGCCAAATATAATTTTATGAAACTATTCAGTCATTAACATTAACAATAATTAAGAATTGCTGAGAGTTGAATGAATAATATAATATAAATGAATAATAATAATGAAAAGAGAAGAGGGAACAAGTCGGACTTGAAAACTGTCATGATCACATAACTGAGTTTGTACAGTGCACCAAGCTAACCTGTAATGTGGCATTTTTGCATTTTGGCTTAGTATATTATGCAAATCTAAGCAATACAATTTGTCTGTCATGGCTTAGAGTATTGTATGTTCAAACCCAATTGTAGCTTACTCAATAAACCATGATTGATCATGCAATCATAGGTTTGGAAGAGACCATGGAGGTTTTCTAGTTCAACCTCTTGTCTAGGGCAGGAATTCTCAAACCATGACATAGTGAGATGTGTGAACGGCTTGGTTTATATGTCACACTAATCCATAATCAATTGCCTGCAAATCACAAGGTCTGGGTCCAACCACACATTGAACTGAAATGAAACAAAGTTTTTTTTGTGTGATTCTTTACAATGGATGAACTGGCAAATCTGGCATTTCTTGAGATGCTATGGTAGCTCTTTTAAAACTTTGAAAAACTTTGAATCTTGGACAGAATGTTAACATTTGTTGTTAGTTTTGGTTTTTTAAGAATATATTTATTAAATTTTTATCTCACCTTTATTATATTGTTACTCAAGGCAGCAAACATACATAATAATCTTTCCTTCTCCTATTCCCCATAGCAATTATCCTGTAAGGTGGATAGGCCTCAGAAAGTGACTGGCCCTAGTCACCCAGCTGGCTTTCATGTCTAAGGCAAGATTAGAACTCACAGACTCTGTTTCTAGGCCAGCACCTTGACCATTGTACCCGACGTGTCAAACTCGCAACGTATCGGAGCTTTTTCCCCATTGCCGGCAATGGGGTGGGGGCAGTTTCCCAGTGATGCATCCAGCCCACGGGCCAGCAGTTTAACACCCCTACACTATACCAATTGAAAAACAAAGGCGATTTGAACCTTTTACCAACATAAATATTCAAGATTAAAAGACATATAAGACCTTCCTTCCTTCCTTCCTTCCTTTTTTTCTATATAGATGAAAAGGTTAACTGTAAAATGCGCCTCTGTGTGTGGAACTATCTGCATAATTAGAAATTTGTCTTTGAAATTTGTCTTCTTCCTGCCCGCAGTCCTTGTAGTAAATAATGAATAACCCACATATGTTAACAGAAAGCAAAATGAACAGATTATAGAATTAACCAATAAACAAAATAATCTTAGGCAAAATCTTCTCATTATTAAGCATTGCAGATAAGCTTCTAATCCTGCATCTGAAAGAGATTTATGGTTTTAATTGGGCCATTTCCTTTTTTTCTAGGTCAAGCAGGTGTTGGTGAGTGTGGAGGAGAAATTCCAGGCTGGTGATCATACATTTCTGTGTGGACAGCTGTGAAAGGAGGCAAGCAAGAAATTCCGGTCGCTTCCTTTCTTTCCTTGCTGTGGATTCCAGAGCAACAGTGTTTGTTCTTTTTCATAAAGGCCTTCTGTTGTCCTGGCCAAACAGGGGTGGAAGAACAGGCCATTATTATTATTATTTAGTTTTGCCTGTCCTTGCGTGCCTTTTTTCTGCATTTTCTTGGTCCTATCAAGATGGCTGTGGATGAAGCACCCGGCAACCTTGGCCTGGAAAGGAACATTGATCTGACCCAGTTGAAGAACCATTTCTTCACATAATGAAATCCTGGCATGCCCACAATGCCTATCACTCCAGAAAATGCGATGCTGTTTCTTCCCATCCTTTATCGATGGTTGCAGAGCCATCTGAGGCGGGAAGTTGAGGAACCCGAGCACAGCCTTTGTCATTCAGCCATTAAGAAGCTGAGAGAGTACATCCAGTTGAACTTCCCAGTGGAAGAGGGCAAGCTACACTACAGCCCTAGTCCTGTGGATATGGAAATCTGTACGGTTTATTTAACCAAGGACCCAGACAAGACAGAGCTGCTCGGTCTAAATTTTGGCAACATCCCTGCTTTTGGGGATTATGGTGAAAAACGGAGAATGGGGAGAAGAAAGAGGGGACATAAAGGCCCAGTGCTTGATGTTGGAAGCATTTGGGTCACTGATTTGAAGAAAAACAGTCCGGCAGGTAAATGTGGAAAAATTCGCTTGCGAGATGAGATCCTTTCACTGAATGGCCAACTAATGGTTGGAGTGGATGTTGGTGGTGCAAGGTAAGATGTGAATTGTGATGAAGGTTGATAATGGATGATATGGATGCTTATGGTGGAACCTCCCAGATGTTGATAAATTACAGCTCCCAGCACGATTGCATACTGGAGGAAGCTGGGAGATGTAGTTCCTACAGAGGGAGGATAGGTAGCCTACAAACTATTGGTCACATGGACACCTCCTAAAACTTTAGGACCTTCTGTACAGTTTCCTTCTCATTCACCCATGGGAACGGTTGGTGCTTGAAAACAAAAAGAGAATTAGAAAATCAATATACTCGGGAGGGCATGTCCTCAGCACTTAGAAGCATGCTTGCTATAAAGTGAAACTCTGGAAACATTTACGGATTGATTTCTCTTTTAAATGTTACCTTTTTCTTCTGATCAAAGGTTCTTCTGGTTGACAATTAAGTGTGAATGTTTGTATATACAGGTAGTCTTTGACTTATAATCACTCATTTAGTCTCCATTCAAAATTACAATGGCACTGAAAAAAGTGACAAGGCCAGTTTTCACACTTACATCCCCATGGTCACATGGTCGAAATTCAAACTCTTGGCAACTGGCATGTATTTATGACAGTTGCACTGTCCTGGAGATCATGTGATCACCATTTGTAACCTTCCCAGCCTGCTTCCAACAAATGATGTCAATGGGAGAAGCCAGAATTGTTTAACAACCACATGATTTGCTTGCCAACTGCAGTGATTCAGTTAACAACAGTGGCAAAAAGTTTGTAAAAAATGGGGCAAAATTCACTTAACCACTTAGCAAGGGAGATTTTGTGCTCAACTGTGGTTGTAAGTCGAGGATTACTTGTATATTGATGTATAGATGGTTCAGAACAATTTACAAGGTCTGGGAAAAAGAACGAGCATAGCATCAAGAAAAGGTATGGCGATTATCCTCCCAGTCTTGTAAGACTTTCAAATTGTTCTAGATCACTGTGAACATCTGGCTTACTGCCAGAGGCAAAATGTTTATTCTAATTTATAATAATAATGATGATGATGATGATGATGATGACGACGACGACGTTGGAAGGGACCTTGCAGGTCATCTAGTCCAACCCCCTGCTCATGCAGGAAATCGTATGCCATTTCAGACAAATGGCTGTCCAGTCTCCTCTTAAAAACTTCCAGTGTTGGAGCATTCACCGCTTCTGGAGGCAGGTTGTTCCACTGGTTAATTGTTCTAACGGTCAGGAAGTTTCTCCTTAGTTCTAGGTTGCTTCAACCTAGAACTATCCTGTTTACCTTTTCTTTTCTCCTTACTTATTTTCACTTTTTTGTCCCTACCCACTTTTTCCTGACCACCCCTAATTTTTGAATAGTGGCAGAAGATTGAATGCATTCTGTCCCACACAAAAAGATTAATTGCCACACTACAGTATGGTTGTCAATAAACTTCCAAAAAAGAAGCATAATCCAGCAATTAAGTGTCTTTCCTCTTTTACGAGTGGCCATCAGATTTAGCATGCTTCATTCCGTTTATCTTGACAATGTCCTAGTCACTTTGATTGACTACATAGCTTCTAATGCTTGAAAACGGATTGATTTGATTCTCTCTATTCTTTCATAGTGAGCAAAAATTCTATCCTCATAAGTCATCTAATTTTCTAATCAAAATTTAATCGCACTAATAGTTGTAAGGAAACTTGAGTTCATACATAGAATCTGTATTATACAGTAAGTGTCTGTATTCTGTAAGACATCCAATATAAATAAGAGAAATTCAAATTGCATAATTGGAAACGGACCTGATTCAGAAACAGCCTAAGACTTGAACAATCAAATTGTTCTGTGTTTGCAGCAAAATATAAGAATAAATCTTTGGTCTTTTTACTTTAATAGGATCTCGATGGGATTCTGTAGATCAGGGGCCCTCAACTCCCAGGCCGCTTCAAAAGCAAGCAAAACTTAAGCTGTGCACGTGCCGGATTTACATAGTGTGCAAAACGAACTCCCACCTAGCCACCACTGGTCCCTGGAAAAATTGTTTTCTCTGAAACTGATCCTTGGTACAAAAAAGTCCAAGATCCTTTAGATCAAATTTCTCTGCGCTGGGATGATGAGAAGTGTAGTCCAGCAATATGAAAGATACAGGTAGTCCTTGACTTACAACCATTCAATTAATTTGAAGTTACAGTAGCAGTGAAAAAAGTGACTGGAAACAATATTTCACACTTACGACCGTTGCAGCATCCCCATGCTCGCGTGATCAAAATTCAGACGCTTGGCAACTGGTTCATATTTATGACGGTTGCAATGTCCTGGGATCATGTGCTCACCTTTTGCAACTTTCTGACAAGCAAAATCAATGCGGAAGCAAGATTCACTTAAGAACTGTGTTAACAACTGCAGTGATTCACCTAACAACTGTGTCAAGAAAGGTCATAAAATGGGGACAAAATTCACTGAACAACTATCTCGCTCAGCAATGGAAATTTGGGGGTTCAATTATAGTCGTAACTCGAGGACTATCTGTATAAGAATAAATCATTGGTCTTTTGGTTTCACTTTAATGGGATCTCAGTGGAATTCTTTAGATCAGAGGTCCCCAACCTTTTGGACACCAGGGACCGGTTACGTGGAGAGAGGTTTTTCCATGAACCGGAGGGGGGCGGGGTTTGTGTGTTGCCTGCATCCCGCGGATGGGGCTTTGCTTGTTTGTGCAGCCCAGTTGCTGGCATGCCGTGGCCCGATACTGGTCTATGGACCGGGGGTTGGGGACCCCTGCTTTAGATCATGTTTCTCTGTGCGGAGATTATGGGAAGTGCAATCCAGCAATATGGAAAATTCCAGTTAAGGGAAAGTCTGCATTACCCACTTAATCAGTGGTTCTCAACCTTTTTAATGCCGTGACCCCCCAACCGGTCGTAAGTCAAGGACTAAACCGGTCGTAAGTCGAGGACTACCCAACTGATCATAAGTCGACTTTCCCTGCCCGGGAGTGCCGCGCCTGCATGGTGCCGCCCCCTGTGCCGGCCGAGGCGTAGCTGGCAAACGGCAGAGACAGAGCAGGCCGACCACCGGCTGGGCCACCAGCTGGCCCAGCCCAAGGGAGGTAAGGCACCCCCCGGAAAAGGGGAAAAAAATGGCAGACAGCCTTGCTTGGCGACCCCCGTGAAATGGTCAATCGACCCCAAATGGGGTCGCGACCCATAGGTTGAGAACCGTTGCACTTAATGGTCAGACTACTGGAATCCCAGGTGGATTTTTAGATATAGGGACAATCCAGTGTCCCTTTTCCTTCTCAAAATCACACTGTAACCCCTGAGAATACTGAAGCAGTGATACCTCTGCAAAGAGACAGTTTTTTTGGGGTGGGTGGGAATCTTTTATCATTTTTATGATACTTATGGCCCGACTAAAATAGATGTATGAAACTTATCAGGGACTTATTGCACTGATTTTATATCTTCTTCGGTCAAAAAGTGTTGACTGTGCTGCCAAAATTTAAAGCGAGTCTTAAGAACTTTTCTGGCTCACTGTTGCTTACCTCTGGTCAAGCTTTATGTGCCTCTTGGCTGATGAGTAGAGCTGGAGTAAACTGTGCAGAATGATACAAATCACAGTGTTGTTTAACGAGAAAGGAAAGGAACAATGTAAATATGTAATATGTGGAGCCAGTGGATTTGTCTTTCTTTGGAGCAGACTGTACAAGAAGAGATAAGCAGCGGATATGTGTATTTACTGTACTGCCGAGTTTATTGGACTAATCCTCTTTGCAGAGTGTGTTGGCAGATAAACGTTCACGAAAAATCACCTTTCAGTTTCTCTTCATTCACTCCATTTCCATAAGATTGCCTTCAGTATTGAGCTATTATATTGGGATAAACAGTTGGTGCAGGTGTTTGATGGAAACTAAGTCACCTACAGGAACTTAACAGGAGTTTGAACTTGCCAAATACCAGAAATAGGGAGTGTGCAGTCAATTTGGCTTCCAGGAATCTCTGTTCTGGCTGGTATTAAGCCCACTAAGAATCAGGGAAGGATTAACACACTTTTGTTGGTGGGATTTTAAGCTTTGCTGCCAGACCAAATGTTGCACAGAGAGAAATTGCTTTGGAAAATGGAATGGGGATTCCCTACAGCTGTCTCTGTCCTGTTGGTTTGCAAGAAGAAAAGATGCACAGTGAAGAATATCAAATCTCCCCGAACAATAGAGTAATTCTATTTCTTTGTTTGTTTGCTTGCTTGCTTACTTTGGACTCCTGCTCCTGTTCTCTTGTTAATGATGGAGTAAGTGATTGTTTGCCTCTCCCGAAGTTGGAATGGTTGGAAATGACTAAAACTTTTCTGGATATTTTTCAGCAGCGTTTTGTTGGCTTGAAGGATTAGTCAGACAAAGATGATTTTTCTTTAAGATTAGAAGAGGTGAAGAGGACATGCGTATGCAGAATGAAGTTTACCCATCGCCCTAAGTTGAAGTATGATTTTCTGGATTTTGGCTAGTTGATTCTATGGACCCAATCAATTATTAGTTACTTAATAAATCAAACATAAATCTAGCTGAAATAATCTTTCCCAGCTTGATACCACAATATATTGGAGCCACAGTACCCAGACATCTTAGCCAGCATGGTACAATAACTAGGAATTTGAGAACCCAACCCATCTGGGGACTGTACAACTTGGGAAAGTGTAATTTAAACCAGCAGGAACACTGCATACAATCAGCTTGCTGCAGAAGGAGGAATGGAAGGGACATAGAGCCAACTGTTGGTCTGCAGGATAAAGCCCATCCAATTTCATGAATCCATGATGTCTCTGTATAGCTTGAATGAAGGCATATTCCATGAAGTGTTAGCAATGAAGCTGCTTCAGATAGTGCATCATACAGATGGTTTATCACTTAGTTTAATATGTAATTCCAGTTATTTTACAGTCTGCAAATTGTGATTAATGGATTAGCATTATGTAAGAATCAGGTCATTATGGTAGGTTGAATAAATCATAGTTAAAGCAATATATTCTTTAATATGATATATACACCCAATC